CTTTGATTTGAGCCAGGGGCTGAGGAAAAAAGATCTGCAGAGAGCCTTTCCAAACTAAATTATTCTAGGATTTAATATATTAGCCAGAGAGTTTCTGACACAGAATTATTTAATAATTGCTATTTTATGCTTTCTCTATTCCTTTCCTGCACTTCAGTTCCTGCTTCTTCTGTCTTCTCTCCCCTGAAATGATATCTTTTTGTTCCATACTTGCAATTACAACAAGCATGGCTTTATATGAAATATATATGAGATAGCAGTCCTATTTTTCACCTGAACTTGGATGCTAAGAGGTGCTGGATTCATTCTGGGCACTGTGCTCTAAGTGGTGTCAAGTACCTTCTGTTATTAGAAGCAACGCTGGCAATGAAGAGCATAGTGGAGGGAGAGCACAAAGTCGGTGTGCACTCATTTGTCTGGTAATAGGTGATAAATTAAAATATGGTAATAGCTTTAATCATTCCTGTTGAAGCTAATTTACTCTTTATTTTTTTTATGTGGGCAGTTCTACACCTAGGCTTAATGAAAAAGGTAAATAAACCAGAGTGGAGTAATGATATATACTGACTGAGCTGTCAATCAGAAACAGAGCTCCTGTATTGTTTGCTAATGATTTATAGGAAAGAGCTGTCTTAGACCCAAGATCCGAACCACAAACATAATTCCCACAGTGAATTACATTTGCCAGAAAATGACATGAAATGGAGCTTTATGATTCAATGCAAGAATCGTACATCAGAAGACTTTTTCTCCCTGTCCAAGAAGCTGCACGTACTCTGGAAAATTAACTGCAAATCAAGTATAGACAGTCTGGCAGGAAGAAAAAAAAAGAGAGCAAAATGAGAATGTATTTAAATTAATCCTTTGGCAGGGGATAAAGGAAAGACAGGCAAAATAAGGGTAGAAGAGTTAGACTCCAAACTGACAAATGCCCAGTGCACGCGTGAGCATCTGCCCTCCGCAGCATCCTCATCACCTCCCGTAGGGTCCAGCCACCAAATGTTCCAGCACACATGCTGCTTCTATCACTGGGCACTTCAATTAAAAAGATATCAGCTCACTGCCAGTTTAAACAAGGGGGGAAAAGGCTGGTTGCCTGAAGTGACCCGAGCTCAGTGTCCTGGACAGGGTGTACTTGCTGTCTCCCACTGGAACTGATTTGCGCTGTTGCTGTGATAAAGGCATCGATAACAACGGTCGGCATTAAACAGCCAAGAAAGGACGTTTGGTCTCGTTGTCCTGATTCAGCGATAGTGGCCAGGGACATGGGGGGAGTTTGCAGCCCTCCATAAAAGCTAGCAATGATGCACATTAAAACCGACACATTGCCCTGTGGGCACAGGGGAGGGCTGGCTCGTGAAGCTTGGGAAAGGTAAAAATATCCCCCGCCAGCTCCCCTGGCTCATGGAGGAGGCTCTATAATTTATTTTGTATTAATGTACTGCAGCACCACTCCTCTATTAACTTTTGGGAGAGAAACAAAAAGCCATTAACAATTGTTTGATAGATGTATTAATAATGAAAAGTGACTAGTAAAAAAGAAAACTTGCTAGTAAAATGTATTAACAACACTAGCCAGACCAGAGAGGACCACAAAGAATTTAAGGGGAAAAAAAGCCTGTACAAAGCCCACTAGTGATAAGTGTAAAATAATACATGTTAGGAAAAAACCCCCACATCCAAAGTATTAAATGAACTATATCCACTCAGAAAAGGGACTGGTGCTAACAGTGCCAGGATGAAGAGAAACATCTGCTCAATGAGCAACTGGGGTCCAGGAAAGCAAATAAGATATTACGCCACATAAGGAAAGGCAGGGAGAACTCATCTCTATTAATCAGTGCTTTGCTCTCCTCTGGACGTTCCGTGTGGTGCCAGGCTCTCCAGCTCAAAAGGAGTATTGCAAAACTAACGGGGATTAGGGAAGGGCAGTTCACTTTAGAAAGGAGATGAGAAAGAAAGATATCTGAGAAAGATGAAATTTAAGCAATGGCCTCCAGAAAGGAGGTACGGACAAGAGTAGGGAGCAACTGGCCGGGAAATTCCCAGTCTGGCACAAAATGAACAAGGCAGCATTTAATGAAAGTAAAAGGTGATTAATACCAAACCATGTCTAAGAAATACTTGTTTGTGAAAGTCCTTATCAGAGCATGTCACTGATGCCAAAAATTCAGTATGAATCTAACGCATCCGGGACAATAATTAGTATAGAATACACCCATCATAGAAGGAGTTAGGACATTTCATACCAGAGAGCTTAAACCAAAATAACAGAGCTCTTGATGGGACTTAGCATCCATGGACCTGGAGAGGGGGAAGGACAAATCCTCCATGTCTTCTTGTTGTGGAGGTCTTGCACCTCTCTGCAGCATCTGGTGCTGGTCCTGCCATGGAGAGGAGAAGGAACCGGGTGGACCATAAGGACCTGCTCCAGACTGGCAATTCTTAGGCTCTCATCTTGTCCCACGCTTGAAAGACAGATTATTATAATAATATAGGAGGAGAAATGAGGAAAACATCTAAGAAAATGAAGTACAGTTTCCAGCTTTCAAGCAGAGGTCAATAAACAGGGCAACTTCTTTTTTTATGGTTTCAGACAGATTGGCAGGATCTTTTTGGTGTTGGTATATCAAAAGATAAAGAGATTATGAAAAAGAACATGAAAGTGAAGACCTGAAGAGCTTCAGCAGAATCAAAAAGTCCTCCCAAAGCTACTGCAATAGCACAGAGGTTTTATAAATGGCACAAATATACTTCATGTCGGTTTTTGCAACTTCAGTGCTTTATCTTCCTTCCAAATTTCCACCTCAAGTTATACCTGACATGGTTTATGTGCCTTGCAATACACACCTATGCAGAGCCGGAGAACATATTGATGCAAACAGCGCAGCACTTGGCTGCTTCCTCATCTATGAAGCTTCCTGCCTCACTGTCTGCTTTAATACATGTTCCTCACACACATATGATTCCACTCATCTATTAACCAGAATTAGAAACATGACTCTGAAAACTACCATTGAGGTTTTGGTCTTCATATTTTTGCCTAACTTCCCTTTTCTCTCTCTCCCCCCTTCATTACAGTACTGAATGGGACACCTAGCTAGCTCTCTTCATCCTCAAACTACAGGCACCACTTTCCCCAGGTTCCCACTTGGCAGCCTGTTGACATGTCTTACGATTTTCATCTCACTTTCACAAGGGCTGACAAACCAGCAAACGTTTCTTTTACCTATCACGTACTTCACTGAATTCTGTGTGATCGTGTCTTCAGGCTCTGGTGCATGAAAAGGAGCAGTTTCTTGGTACGTCTCTTTGAGAATGGTGCTCCCCAAACTCTTCATCTCCTTTAACCGCCCTGCATTCGTGACACTCAATAGTGCAAAATCAAGCTAGTTACATATTTCAGTTCCTTCCTGAACCTTTTATTTCAGCTGGTGTGTCTCAGGAGCAGCTTGCACCGGGTATTTACGTACTGCTTACACCTAGACCAGCCATCCTGCAACCTGCAGGTGACACCAGCTTCTTGCATGGCATTTATCGTTTCCTAGCACAAAGAATCAACACCTTTTTTCAGTAGAAAATTACAACTGCTGACTGCCTGGAAATCATGTCTTGGAAGCAGGTACAATACATTGTCAGGATTATTTTATATGACCGTTGGCAGAGGAGGAGATGCTCTGAACACAGTTAAGGGTACCGACTGGCAATGAAGATGTATTTCAGCTTCATTACATCTCAGCTGAGCAAGAAGTTACAAAGGTTCATCCATATTCTCATGATTAAGGGCATCAAAAATTGATTCTAGCTTAAAATTTTCACTCATAAGAGTGAAAAAGAAGAAAGCACTGTACTTCCTATAGTATCTGTCTGTTCTAACGATATATAACCTATGTAACTCAATAACCTGTTTTATTGGAGTGTATAATAAAATCAGTGTCAGTGCTGAATTCATTTTCCATGACAGGAAAACCTTGCCTGAAGTAGCTTGAGACGCAACATTTTCAGTCCAAATCTCAACATGCACTGATAGCCCCACAATTATTTTGTCTCCTGTGCATCTTTTTGCAGGTTTCAGTTTTGTGGTTTTTTTTTTTTTTCTTCTTGTTAAAATTAGCACTGAGGAACAGGCTTGCCAAGTTAAATATCATCATAGAGGTCTACGATCAGTTATTATACAGAGGTTCACACACCTTTATCTCCAATACATTTTATGGGTGAAGGGATTCACTGCAACTCAGAGCAGTTCTACATTTGCTGAGCTGAGTAACACTCAAGAAATCCCTGTTTCGCTCCAGCAAGAGCCTGTGGTGAGGGGCTCACATGTAGACCCTCTATACTGACACTCCCTAAAGACAGATGAGATCAATCTAGGTCCTTAGCTGACATCATTTTGGCCCCTTTTTTAAAAATTTATTTATAGGACACTAAGCTGAATATACATTTACCATGATTTTGAGTACATATTTTAATTTTTAAGTTTCATTTGAGGAACAATATGGAGCACAGCCCTTCCTGATGAATATGACGTTCAGCACAAATGGTGGTGAAACCCAAGAGCTGGAAATTCTTCAGCCAGCTGCTCCATCATAGCATAAGTACTGAGAAGGGCTAGGCAAGATCCACCAGCCCCATTGCTGGTCATGGTCCTATCTAAACCACAGCATTAAACACAACACAAGTGGGAGGTAGGAAACGGAACAGGGATAAAAATCAGTTGCGGGGTCTCCTCTCATCTCTAGATGAGAGGGGCTCCTGGCCCTGAGATGTCCTACACTAACAAACACACTACAGCTTCCAGGGCTGCCACACATAACCTGTACTAGCCATTTATTCTGAAACACATTCTGGTTTTATGGTGGTTTTCTGATTATTAAGCCCTAATCAAAGTATCATACTTACATGAGTTGAACAGAGGGAAAGAGTTTGCTCTCGTAATTCATGTCCAAAAAGAACAAATGCTCTTACATGGCAAAACAATTAAGCCCATGCTGTATTTTTACCTGAACAGGGATGCATTTGAGCTTGAGCGTCTTCCTAAGCCAAGACCAATGCAAGGCAAAATGACAGGTCTTCTCCAAAACCCCTGGTCTGCTGCCCAACCATCGTCAGGCACATTTGCAAGGACAGAAGAACTTGACAAGTCTCCTGCTGCAAACCAAGCAGTCCCAAAGGGGCAAGATACAAATCAAAAAACCAACCTGGATTAAAATCGCAACAGAAGAGAAACCCAATCAGTGCTATTTGAATAAAATCAATGCTAAAGAATATCACCATACTTTTTACTTTAAAGGCATAGAATAAACTGAAAGTTCCAGAAAAGGAAGTGATGGCATCATTCATTTTTATTATTATTCATGTTCTCATCACTATGACTTTCAAAAGACCGGTTTGCTTTTGAGATCCTTCCTCCAGGTCAACTAGATTTCTTTACATAAAACAAGGAGTGCCATTTGGTCATATTAAATAAAATATGGCATTAGGGGTGTGTAGGGAAACTGCCTGGAACAACCCCTCAATGTTTCACAAAAGAATTCAAAGGAAAGTGCTCCAAAAGATTACTGTGATCGTTGCGTTGGTATCTTACCTGTTTGAAAATGCTTTCAAGCAATTTTCCAAAGAGCCTTTTGGTGTAATTTGTGCAGGCTTTCAGGAGATTAAAGAAAATGTAGATGCACATTCCTTTCAAAAGAAACAGAAATGGGCTAAAAGTAATTTATTAGTGGTCAAGGGCATAGCACGGCCAAGTGAGACTTAAGATTGAGGATTTTTTCAAGAAATTTTGGGACTGCAGGCACTGCAAGGCACTGCAATTACTGAAAGAGTAATCAGCTGGATCTCCTATCCGGTACTGAAATATATGCTTTCCAACTGTGTAATTTACATATGGAAGGAGGTCAAGAGGGATTAAGAAAGTAAATATATCACCTGATTAGGTATGCAAGTTCAGGACGTTAGAAGGACTTATTCTATCAATATTCAAGGTCTTAGCTTCCCAAGGTTGAGCTGTACGCATGCAATAAATTGAATATGTAGCCGAAGTCTGGTGAGAAAACTGAAGATCCCACCAGTGTGCATCAGTATACACTTGTTCCAGGATGAAATCAGATGGGTTTTTTTGTTTATTACCTTTTCCATTTTACCATGTGAAAATAAAGTTAGAGAATAAGGGGAATATACACAGGCAAGGAAGGAAAAACTATGACCTGACAAGGACATGTTCACTACTCACTGGATGTGCGTTTTTAACAGAAACAGACAGCACTTCCTAATTATTCTTCTTAATTTGTGCAACATTTAATGCAAGACAGAATATCACGCTGCACTGCTTTAGCCTTTTACTTGGGATAGACGATATAGGGAGATAATACGATCATCATCTGCTTTCTTTGATTCACACTTTGCTTCCTGTGAAGAATGTCATTTATTAGGAAATTAAAGTACAGATAAGCTCAACTGCAAGACCAAGCCAGCTTTCCAGGAAGAAAACTGAGCTGAGCTTTTGCTAACTGATATGTATTTGCCCTATTAACCATAAAATGTGCCTTGGACTGAGTTAAGTTAGAAAAAAATGTTGGGCAATGGTCTCATAAGAGCAGCACTCTGCTGGAAAGCAGAGATGGGTCCCAACTCAGAAGAGCCAAGACATCTCTAGGAGAACCTCCTGCTTTTCTCACCTTCTCTCAGCTGTTATTCTCTCATCCTGCTATCAAAGAACCTGTGAGCAGCACCAGCTTTTTATACCTCCGCTAATTGCACATTCTAGGAAAACAAAACAATGTAATGTTCATCACACTTAACGTGCAGCATCATAAGGCATCAGTATGAATAGGGACGTGTTTTGGATGAGACGGCACTGCTACTCCTTTCCTGTTTCTGCTGGGTGACTCATCATCCTGAATTTGGGAGGATGTGGAAATCCATTGACAAAGCAGCACCAGCTGCAAAAGCTTTGTGTCCACAGATCCTGTAAATTTTGAAAAAAACCCCACAACACACAAAAAAATAATAATCAAGAAACCCAGCGTTCAGACTGGTAGTACAGCAAAGGATGCTGAATCTTTCCATAAAATTTTCCATGAAAGCCTGTAAGGACTAAGAGGAAGATTTTGGCCCTGCCAGGGAGGAGATAATGGGGCCAGGTTTTGAGATGCTGCTGTTTGATTTCCACTGTGCCCAACTTATTACCTACTCTCTGAAGTCAGCCCCAGCCAAAGCGCTGCAGGGCTCAAGCACTATCAGAGAAAAAAAAAAAACAAAACCAAAAACCAGCAATAAAATGAACATTTTTGCACACACTGCATCAGCATCTAGAAAGAGAGATGGACGAAAGTCACTGCTCAATGTGCAGTTGAGGTAAGACAAGCCCAACAGTATATTAAGATAAAAAAAGGACTCAGACAGGGTGGTCAAACCCTGGAACAGGCTTCCTAGGGAGGTGGTCAATGCCCCAAGCCTGTCAGTGTTTGAGGCATTTGGACAATGTCCTTAACAACACGCTTTAACTTTTGGTCAGGTCAGGCAGTTGGACGAGGTGATCATTGTAGGTCCTTTTCAACTGAAATAGTCTATTCTGTTCTAATAAAGTCTTCGAGCTGCCAGGGCATCAAGTCAGCGCTAAGAATAATCTAAAATAATCCACACAGGTAACAGCTAAGAGAAAGCCCCTGCAATGGACTTCCATGGCAAGAGTCTCCAGCCAGCCTCGACCCCAGAAGCGTAGGCTCATCTCGGCCAGGCACCTCGCGCACGCCATACATACCACACCTGCTAGCTAAGGTATATGAAAATGCACGTATCCTAGCTAAAGCCTTGAGCTTTCCTGTTCCCCATCTCTCCCTTGAACTACGCTCACTCAAAGCTCTGTCATCCTTCCAGCCTCCAGGAGTGAGTGCTTTACAACATCCTGGATCCTCTGAAGGTCCTGTCCTTTCAAAACCTGGCAACAGAGTCGGGAGAACTTTTTTTCAGCAAAACTTGCAAACCTGCCAAAGCATGTGGCTTCAATCATTCGCAAACATTTCATTAACTTCTGTCAACTGGACAAGGCTCTGAGCAACCTGACTCAGGCTGGACCTGATGACTTCCAGAGCTCCTTTCCAACCTGAATTATTCGGTGACTCTCCTTCAAATTTATGAGATAATTTCAACTAGAAAAATATATTGAGGACTGAACCTGCTGGACATTGATTTGGACTCTGGTCCCATTCCAGTGTTAACACAAAATGAAGCAGGATTATAAATAAACAGGAAAAGCATCCCAAAATATCCTGAAGCCTTGCAATTACCCTTGAAATGAGAGCATACAGGTTCAAACCTCCTCAGACAGAACTGAAGCTGGTTCTTCCATACCCCACAAAAAAATCCTAACCCTGAGACTACTGGGTTGAAGGGGAAAATTAGCACCTCTCTTCGCTCTTTGTTTCCTTTAATTTTCTCATAAATGATTGAAATTAAACATTTTGGGTTGAATGAAATAATTTGTATTAAATGCAACCAGACTGGCTGGCAGGCAAATGGGGTGTTTGGAGAAGAATAAATATTAATTATTATTCAAACTGAATGGAATTATTTTTATGTTTTCAATTTGTTTGCCAAATTAAACATAACATCACTGCCACAGCCCCGGCTGAAGAGGCAGGAGAAGAACTAGGCAGAACAGGGAGTGAAGAATGGGGACAAAATGGGGTGATGCAGGAACCCAAGCCCAGAGCTGAGACCTCAAGGAAGCCCCGGAAAAGCTGCTGAAACAGTGCTTAAGGACTGATGGAGAGGGATTTTCCTAAATCCTCTGGGCAGAACAACTACAGACACTGGCTATCCAAGTCCCAAACTGGAATAAAAACAGATTTATTTGCCCCAATGAAATTATCTGTTCTTTCTTCCCAAAATCATCGTGACTGCAAAGGTTTCTTTCTTTTTTACACTGTGATACATTTTCCTTGTTTTTCCACATCCTGATGAATACACCTGAAATGTTTTTAAAGGAAGAAAGCCGATTTGTAACGCTCTACTTAATTTTTAAAACGATGTCGTGCCTTGTTCTTTAATAGAATCCTGACTATTTGTTCAACAGAAAAAATTCAGTGTTTTATACAGTATTTATAAAGGGTCACATAAATACATAAGCAGAGAAGGAAAAAAAAAGTCTACAGGATTAAAAGATAAGGAGGCTGCCAATCTTGTAGCACGGGTATGGCACTGGAGGCTTACAGCTCCTGAATAATACCTGCACAGCAGAAGGCACGGCTACCAGCAGATTCTAAGCCCCCTGAAACTCTTGTATAGGTGCTATAGGAAAGGACAGAAATGTGTATTGTCCCACTAACTAACAGCTCCTACTGATTTTCCTGAAATCATTAATTGCTTGCAAAGAAAACCTCCTGAAAATGCCCCACCTGCCCTTGCAGGGAATCGCTCCGCCAGGAATGTGAGGCTTTGGAGGAACGAAATCTAGGATAACATAGCTGAGCTTTGGGGTTTTTATCGTGGTAATTAGAAACGTTAATTTATCCTCCCATATGCACAGAAAAGCCTGGAACGTGCCAGCGGGACAGGAGCCTTAGATGCCACGCTTGCAGGACGTTATCGGGTGCTTTTGGCAGTCTGTGCCCTGCAATGTCCCTCCTCCTAACAATACTAACCATTTCCAACGACCACAACAAGTTCGTTATCTTATCACAGCAGCATCCCTCTATGAGATTAGTCAGGCATCCCAGTGTCATGTTTTATCTCTAAAGCCTTGGGCTTAGGCATAGCACGCGTCTACCCCAGAAAGCTAGGTGTATTCTAGTCAAACAGAAGAGGATCTATAAACATCTAATTTTTTATGATATGCACTAAGTTTGCAAGCCTGCTTTAAATCAAATACGGTTCTGACATCTACTTAAGCTTCTGCAATAAATTGGCCAATGATTAAAAAAAGAGGAAAACACTTAAAAGTCAGGCAAACGTTTCCTAAAAGTAAATTAATATGGTTCATCCTTAACAGAAGTGTGGAGTTTTATTCCAGAACGGCAAAAATGTGTTGCACAGGGCACACGTCAATGACAGTGCTTTCATCTGATCCTCTGCCCAGTGCAGCAGAGTCCTGCAGCACCAAAAAGCAGGACCTGCTAAGCATGACGAGGCTTAAAAGTGTGGTTTAACTATAGGACATGGGTTTTAAATCTGATGACACACCGGCCTGTCAAAGGGCTTGTTGCAACCCTCCCCATCTCCCTTCCCCAGCTATAAAACCCTACCACAACAACATTCATCCACCAGCACCAACAAGCTGCTGCAACAAGATAGAGGATATTATTATAACAGCAAAGGTCCTGGCAATGCTTATCAAATAAATAAATATTAAGTACCTTGCAATAACCCCTTGATGGGAGAGATGTGGCAAAACAGCCAAGAAACATTGAATAAGCAAAAGTCTCGTGGATTCTCAAGGGGATTCTACATAAATAGAGATGAATAAACTATAAAAAACCCCACTCTATAAAGGGCTCTTTACTGCGACACATTAAATAAGCATATATTTTCTGCGACGACTAGTACAGCACGGCTTGTAAAAATGCACGGGCCACCATTTTACTCGTAAAAGAGCGCAACATTATGAAAGTTTTATTAGGAACACTTGCCCAGATCAACACATGCCAGAGCCTGCACCAGTTTCTTTTTCTTACCTAAGAAAACAATAAAGAAAAATCTGAAGGATGACAAAAGGTACTTGATAAACATGTGGGGATGTTTCAGTAAGAAAAGCAGTGGCACTTTGGATGCCGAGTGGAAGTGGCACTTTGATGCCGAGATGATCCCAGCACCAGCATAAGACGTGGGGAGAGAGGGATGTAGATGTGAGGATGCCCTCACTTTGAAAAACAGAGTGTGGAAGAGAGAGGGCTGCGTTACCGAGATAACCACAACACAGCAGTGAACATCCCTTCGGCTCGGTGAGAACAAGCTGACGCTCACGTCGCTGGCTGGAGGGTACCCAACTTTTTCAGGACTAGGGAACATGCTCC